TGGTGATCATGTCTTGCAAAAATCATTTTATTTTCTATGCGATCTATTGACAAAAAGAAATGCTCCTTGTACTGCAGTACTGCAGCACAACTGATTTGGCAGCTAGTGCTGCTTCTCCCTTTCTCAATCTGAGCTCTGCTGTACAGGGTGTGGAGAGTCAGCAGGGCTGAGAGCGAAGAAGGGGTTAACTTGGGAGGGCAGATACTTCACCCACAGCCCTTCCTGTTAAAAGGTAACACAGGAGAGAGGAGTGGGGAAGCTGAGAGACAGACAGAAAGGTCTGGGTGTGTGTGGCTGCTTAGAAGCAAGTGGACTCTATCTTGGTGAGATCACCTAAACGCACTACGCAGTGCAATCTTATTGAAGGACTTTATCTTTATGTTTGCTGAGGAAAGCCTTTTACTTTACCGTTTTGCTGAAGAAAGCTGTTTGTTCTGTTACCGCTGGATGAAATAAAAAATGTTTATTTATATCGGACTGTGTTGAAGACGCATGTGTACTCCTGGGGTTCCCCACAAGGGGTTGCAAGAGGCTGATACCAGGTCAAATTCAAGTGCTTACATTACTTGCATTTAAAAAAAAACAGCACTTTTAAAGTGACTCGGTATCTGCTGAAAATGTTAAATCCAGCCATACCAGTAAAAGAAGATAGTACATACTCAGTGGTCGGTTTACCTTTGGGCTTTGGACTCAGTAGAAGATTTCTCCTCATTGGAGTTCAATGGAACGGGCAACAGGAAAGGTGAGTATGTTCTCTCTTCTTTTCCAGGTATAGCTGAGCTTAAACAATTTTCTATTGTTACAGAATTATTAAGGTTGAATAAAGACACATGTCCATTGATTTCAACCTATAGAGATGTACCTGTATGTATTCAGGGGCGTAGCTAGAAATCACAGGGCCCCATATCAAAATTTTGTATGGGGCACTGTGAGTTTTACTTGAGAGTGACCCGCCTCCTCCGCTGCGAAGCCCGGCCCAGCATCCTCTGCCACAGCTGCTGGCTGTCACTGACATAGCAGCGGCTGTGAGGATGAATGTGCTGCTGCAAAGATCACTGACAGGTTGGTTGTCAATGATCTAACAACGACACATTCCTCCTCACACCCGCCAGTGACAGCCAGCAGCCTGACATGCCATAGCGACCCAGGTGGCCCGCACGGCATCAGGGTGATGTCCTGGCCAGGCCCCCCTGTGCTCCGGGCCCCATAGCTGCCGCCTGGGTTGCTATGACGATAGTTACGCCACTGTATGTATTAATGAATACAGAGCTGCATTCATTTGTGTCTCATGTGCCCAGAGTTCATCTTTATCAGTTGAATAGTCAGAGACGCGAGCACATTATCACACCTGGTGCAGTCCTCCGAAAGCCATTTTTGGGAGCTCGTCTTTGAACATTAAGACGGAGAGGAAGAGCAGTTATTCTGTCAAAATCTGTTCTTGTGTTTTTCAGAGTGAAATATATTATGTTTGCTGGAGTGGCGCTGATGTTTATCGCATCTACTGTTACCACCACCGTGATGTCTTTTCTTTTAAAACTTCCAATCCGTTATCCGAGAGGTGAAAGGTAAATATTAAACTTGCCATTTTTGGCTCTTTGGAAAGTAATAGAACAGGGGCGCCCACTATTTTTCGTCTGGAGATCTACTTTTCAAATGCCGAGCTCATTGAGATCTACCAACGAAAAAACACCTGCATTCAGGGGCGGGAGGGGGCGTAGGCTGTGCAGGCAGGCCCCCACAGTGCGATCGCCTGCATTAGTGCCTGTGTTCCAGTCCAGTGCGATCCGCAAAAATGCTGCGAGCACTATTTTTGCAGATCGCACTGGACCGGAATGCAGGCACCAATGTGCCTGCGTTCCGAGTGCGGGCGATCGCACTGTGGGCGATGCCATTGACTTCAATACAGCTCCACACCCCCTCCCGCACCAGAACGCAGGGAGTCGGCCTGCTTACATTCCAGTGCATTCCAGTACATTACAGGTCCCGGCGTCCTGTCCTCCCGTGGTGCTCGTGTGGCCGACGTTGCACATGGGGTGTCCTGCACCTTTCCATCTGCAGCGTCTGACACATTCAGCCGGCAGCCGCACGAGCACCACGGGAGCATAGCCGTAGCCAGCTCCTTTTGCGCCTGAGGCCAGGAAAAAAAACAGTTTTTTAAATTTATTTTTTACTATTT